CTTCGGCCTCCCTATAGTTGGTCGGAACTCCATTGAGTATCCCTTGTTCTGTCCTTTATTGATGTTACCAGATCCCCAATATCCAACCCTGAGTCCCAATGGTGTCTGGGAAAGTCAATTTTCGTGAGAAGACACTTTCAGAAGAATACCATAGGGGTAAGGATGAAATGATTTCTCTGTCCGCTCGGTGGCTATGGCCGGCAGACTGTAATGGTTTTTGTTTGAGCTTAAGAGAGATTGGTCTTAGAACTCCGTAAATAGCTAGAGCTAGCTAGCTAGCTAGATAGATAGATAGATAGAGAGAGAGAGAGAGAGAGAGAGAGAGAGTAAGAAAGAGAGAAAGAAAAAAGAAAGAAAAAAGTAAGAAAGAGAGAGAGAGAGAGAAGAGAGAGAGAGAGAGAAGACAGAGACAGAGGGAGTGAAAGAGCGTGAGAGAGAGAGAAACAATGAGAGAGCAAGAGAGAGAGAGAGAGAGAGAGAGAGAAAGAGAGAGATTGAGTTGTTTTTATTTTTATGGCTTATCTACCTTTTGTGGGTTATTTAAAGATGAAACATTTTTTTGCATGGCAAGAATAATTCATTTATTTTTTGCAACTAAATATTACTTTAAGATTTATTTTTAAAGATGATAACAATGATTTCCCCAGATACAAGTCCTAATAGTTGGGGTGGGGGTGGGGCGAGGAGACATATTCATATAATTAACAAGGGAATTTTCCCTTAAGTGGAACGAACTCTCCGATTTCTCATTCCGCCGAGAGAGAAGCCAAGAGAGAGAGAGAGAGAGAGAGAGAGAGAGAGAGAGAGAGAGAGAGAGGAGAGGTGGAGACATCGACATAGGCAGATACAGAAATAGTGATTTGTTTTACGGCTTATCAACCTTTTGTGGGTTAACGAACTAATGTACCACCACGACGACCTACGAGCGTAGCTTTATTTGTATTTCTTTAGCCATCACCCTGCAATCAGCCAGTAAGTGTTAACAAACGTTAAGAACATTTCGGCCGTTGTACGCCCCGGTCTTCTTCAGGTAATCCGAATTTCGGAACGAAACCTATATTTCGTCCAGCGGGGTGGATTGTTCTAGTTTCTAGTTGAGGATAACAGTCCGAATAATGTAAATAATGTAAATAATCATAATACCTCATCTCAGAGATATATTCAGAAGACTGGACACTCAGAACAATTGATTAACCGTCATCGTTATCACGATAAACTACATCTGTGCCTTTGGTAAGACGATAAACTACATCCGACATCAAGGCCTCTGATCAGGAGGAGTTGAGGAGCGTGGAACCACCTCTTAGTTGCTGGTGTTCCCAGGTCCATCCATTAAAACACTTCCGAGATATTTTAACTAGCCGGTAGCACATATCAGGTTCCCAGCTATGAGCAAATAGTTAACTCCCAAACTGGGGTGAAAACGTGTAAAAATAGGTTTTAATATCAGCAAAACATTTTTATAAGACATTCTTACCAGAAATAAATTTTTGAAGAACAAATTATTATCAGCAATGCAGTATTACCAGCAATACTTTTTTGGAAAAAATATTACCAGAAATATATTTTTGGATAAAAATATTACCAGCAATAAAAATCTTGCCCGCACTAAATAACCCAATGAGGTTGATATGCCGTAAAACAAAACAAAACAATTGTTTAACGCAGCCACAGAAAAGATGTTGATTGGTTGAAGCTTGTTTCAAGTAAACACATCCCACGACAATGTCACCGATTAAAATTTAATTTGTCTGACTTTCCTCGCAGCGGAGTTTGTTTCCTTTGTAAATTAATTGTTTAGTTAGTTAAATAGATAGATATGTATGTATGTATGCATATATGTAGTTGGATAGTTTTCAGTTAAGTTACAAAAATGAAAATGTAAAAATTCGTCGCCGTACAAGAAGGAGCGATAGGAGGAAAAGTGCAGAAAATGGAGTCGTCGATCGGTGTTCAAATTCTATCTTAGACAGTTTGTAGTTACTTTACGATTATGTTTCTGAGACGAATTCATCATTTCTCCCGCCTTAGACCTTAAATGCTAAAATATTGTTCCAATCAATAATATTCTTCATATATTATTTAAATTTGGCCACCCACAGTTCGAAAGAATCCTCTTGTATGCTTACGCAACAATTCTGTTGTTTTATCTACGTCTCAGAAGTACGGAAGTTTTCTTCTTGAGGTCATTCCAATATTGTTTGAAATTCTGTTTAAATTTAAACTACAATGAAGATTCTAATTACGTGAGAGATGGTGGATTGTTCTGGATTTGTCTATAAAATCTTTAGCCGCACTTTTTCTGGCGTTTTGCTAGTAATTTCTTTTTTTTTTTTAATCCTGAACACTCACCATCTTTAAATGGAACTCAACTAGCCTTTAACTAAAATAATAAAATAAATAAAAACTGTTTTCATCAAATGCCTGACGAATTATTTTGAAGGTTTCGATAGCATATGTCCGAGCTTCACGCATTGCTCAAATTTGTCAGGCACCGTAAAGATTACAGAGCCGTTTCAACACAAAGTTACAAATTTTCACCTAGATAGTATAAAGTCTATTGGTGGAATTACTCCGTATGGTAGATATCGATGAGAGTTAGATAAACGTTAATTTCCGGAAACTGTCTTATACAACCTCGTATCATCTTCTATGTACCGTGTTCCCTCAGGACGTGGGTGCTCATGGCTCTCCACTACATCCTACTCTTTGTAGCTTTTAGCAATGTTTGGCTTATTTTTTTTATTATCCCTCCCATTCCTTGTTCTACCAGACAATTTATCCAAGTTATACACTGCTCTCCTACGTCCACCATACATTCATCCTGTGAGAGTGAAGGTTTTTAACCCTTCTTTCCCCATTATGGAAAGTGTTTAGTTGAACTACATTCCTTAATTCCACCAGTTCTTTACGGCTAAGACCCGCTGTGCCACGCCCATTGTTTCGAACTACCCTCATTCTCGTCGTATTCTATTGGTGAGATGTAACTTCCACACGAGCAGCTTCTTCCTCTTCGGACTGCTACTTTGTTAAATCGATTCCTAAGAGGATGCTTCCTCGATCATTACAATGTTAGCCTTTTCTAGGGTTAACAATTATCTTCCTCATATATCCTCATAAACTCGGACTCATACTTCTTACACTGTAACATTTTAACTCGAGTGGAACTTGGGCCTTGTGAATCTTATTTTAAAAAAACAACAAATAGAAAAAAAAGGATGTATCTTTTTTGTTTCCTTTGTTCCCAAAACCTTCCCCGTTAGTTATATTTTCATTCCATGCTATCCTCAGTATCCTTCTGTAGAACAACATTTCTGTTGCCTTCATCTTTTCATTTGTGAGGAAATTCTCCAGCATTCAATCTTATATAGGAAGACTGCATACCGTTTCAACACTCTTTCTTTTGTTTCTAACAAAAATTTCTTGTTTCTTAATACTTTGCTTAACTTTTGGAAGGCATCTTTCGCCATCTGAAGGTGTATTCTTCTTTCGGTGTTACATTTTCCGTTATCCATTAAAACACTTCCAAGATAATTTAATTTTTCTACTTATAGTATAGTATAGCATAGTATAATAAGTTAAAATAAAAGAATTTTTAGTGAATTAACTACATCTAAACCTACAAATGATAACATTGAAAAGTAATATATTTGGTTATTGGAGATTTTACAAGATTTGCGTTAAATGCATTAACAACAAAATACACTAAGAAAGGTGGATATGCGTCGGACATCTTCATAGTAATATGGGTAGATTTGGGAATCAATATCTTTATTAAAACGAAGGAAAGAAAGATACCATGTCTCCTTGGCCTATTCAGTGCAATGGCCGCATACCAAAGGGACAGAATAGGACGAAGGGAAGCCAAGGTCAGAATCCAATAATGTATTTATCGAAACTCTGGCTGCCATCGTGCGACACGAGATAAGAGCAAAGAATGTTCTTTCAAGGCAAAAGCGGAATAAATACATGTTCACTCAATAGGCACAAGCGCCAAAGGGCTCATACGTCAAACACACACACACACACACACACACACACACACACACATATATATATATATATATATATATATATATATATATATAGTTGTGTGTGTGTGTGCAGATAAGAAATATGGTGATACAGATGATGCTGGCATCAAACATATTCTCTTCGTCTCTCACACACACACATGTGAATTCATCCACTGATGTATTGACTATCTATCTATCTATCTCTCTATCTATCTATCTATCTATCTATCTATCTATCTATCTATCTATCTATCACGGTCTTACTTGGAGAGTGTGAAACGTGTTTATTTCATTTTCCCTTAATGTTTAAAATGCTTTTTGAATTTTGGTTTTCAAGAATGACGGTTAATTCTTTCTTCAAGATTGTCCTCCCCGCTAAACAATCTTCCAGACAGTATAAGTGTCTGTTAATTCCTATTATTCCATATACTTTGTGATATCGGTATTGTATACTGACGAGTATACACACGGGTACGCACACACGTATAAGTCATTGCCCTTAGGTGTCTATATTTGGGAGGTTTTCCTTAATATAGGTGTTTACCAAGCTCATTAGGATAACTTGGGTGGATGCACCTCAAGAGAACGTATTTTTGAATGCAGTTGTCATAGCTACCGAGACAAGCCAGTCAATGATTAGCCGCTCCGTTCTTTTCGTTTCTCGCTGTATGAGCCGATTCAAATCTATCTATCTATCTATCTATCTATCTATCTATCTATCTATCTATCTATCTATCTATCTATCTATCTATCTCAGTCTGTTCTTTATCTAGCTGTAGGTATCTAATTACAGTAAAATCTTAGGAGGATATAGGAAAATATATACATATATAAATATATAGCGGCAGTGATAGAGAAAGAAACGAGGTTAAAGAAGACTAAAAAGAAAATAGAGAAACGTAGCATAAAGGAGATGATGATGATGATGGTGATGAGAAGGAGATGGTGATCTTAAGATGATCAACAAGGAGACGTTGATGGTGATCATAATAATGAATAAGAAGAATATGGTGATGATGGAGGAGGAGGACGAAATGATGACGACGACGACGAAGAAGAAGAAGAAGAAGAAAGAGCTGAAAAAATAATAAGAAAGAGATAGATGATGATGATGATGATGATGATGATGATGATGATGATGGTAAAGCTATCGCCAGATGAAAAAAAAATTCATTTTATGTGTGCGCATGAAGAAACACATTTTTGGACAAACAGAAAAGCTATATATATATATATATATATATATATATATATATATATATATATACGTACACACACACACACACACACACACACACACACACACACATATATATATATATATATATAATACAGTAAGAAGAACAGTTAAAGCTTACAGCATGGCAGAGGATACAAAGTTAATAAAGAATGCACTGGAGAAGGAGAGCATAAGGAATATATATATATATATATATATATATATATATATATATATATATATATATATATATATATATATATATACCTAAATGTAGAGTGAGGGAATAATTGATAATTAAAATTATCGATTGAAGGATGAAACTGAGCGAATAATCCATCGATGGACAGAAGGGAGAAGAAGAAAAAAAAAAGGATAGATTGATATTTTGTTTGTAGATGTCGTTTGTGTCCTTCAGTTTGGCCATTGTGGCCAAGGCGGTCATCAGTTGACCGCCTTGGGATTAGAGGCGGCGATTGCGTTACACTGTCGGCGTCTCGGCAATTGGATATTGGAAATGTGTCAAACCAAGCAGGCAGCGATAACAAAAGGGTGACCGGGGAATGGAGGAAGTTGAAAGACTGGGAAGAGTCGAAGAAAAGAGTCAGAAGTACGATTATTGGAAAGAGAAATATAAAAGAGGAGAAAGATCGTAATTATGGGGAGGAGAAAAAGAAGAAGAAAAAGGAGAAATTGAGATGGGTCGTAAGACAATAAAGAGGAAAGACAGAAAAGAAAGAAGAGAGAGAAAGGAAAGAGAAGAGGAAGGAGGAAGGAATGGCAAGGCAAAGCAGAAAGAGAATGACTACTGAAAGAGCAGAAACGAAGGAAAAATAAGGAAAAGAAGAATGAGAAAGAAGGAGGGAAAATGACTAAAGGGAGGACAGAAAAGAATGAAATATAAAGAAATGGCGAAAGGGAAGGAGGACGGAAAGAGAAGGAGGAAGAGACAGGAAGGAAACACAAGTAAAAAAAAAAAAAAGAAAGAAAAGAAATGGTGGGCGATACGAGAATTAAAAAGGAAAGCAAGAGAAGAAAGCGGGAGAAGAGGAAAAAGGAAAAATGAGTGAATGGAAGGAAAGATAATGAAACGGATAAAGTGAGGGGGGATAAGACAAGTAAAAGAAATCAAAGAGGGGGTGAAAGAGGGAAAACGAGGTAAAAAGACCAAAGATAATCAGGGTAAAATAAGAAAATAGAGACAGAATGGAAAGACAATGAAGAAGAAAAAAAGAGAAAGGAAGTACGCGTAAAAACAAACAAAAAAGAAAAAGATGAACAAATGAAGGTCAAAATAATAATAGTAATAATAATAATAATAATAATAATAGAACGATTAATAATTGAGATTGGAAAAAACAAGGAGAGAAATAAAAAAAGGGCAAAGAAATGAGGAGGAAGATTAAATAAAATAAGGAAAACGCAACAAAATAAGGCTTGAGTTATGATTAAAAAAAACTGACCGAGAGAGAGAGAGAGAGAGAGAGAGAGAGAGAGAGAGAGAGATCATTTGGAGAATAAAATGAAGAAAGAAAAAAAAATTAAAAACTGAATTCACTGTCAGAAGAAAAGTAAGACTGAAAAATATGGAATCAAGTTAAGAGAAAAAAAAAAAAAAGAAATAACGAAAAAAAAAATGGATTAAATAAGTACAAACAAGAAAGACTGAAAATATTCGAGAAATGAAGGAAGGGATTTGGAAATAAAAGAAAAGAGTGTGATTTGATAAAAAGTAGGAAAAAAACTGATAAGTGAATTAAACCAAAGATGGGGAAATGCATGAATTTAATAAAAAAATAAACGAAAATAAAAAAAATTAATAAGTTAATGACAAAAAAAAAAAAAAAAAAATTAGAAAGATAATGAAAGATACTAGAAAGGGAAAAAATAATAACGAATTAAATCTTGAAGGAAGTAAAGTTAAAAAATGAAAAAGAGGAAAGGAAAGAAAAACAGTAAATGTGGGGGAAAAGGGAGAAGAAGAAGAAGAAGAAGAAGAAGAAGAAGAAGAGGAGATAACGGAGAAGTAAGGAGGAGAATAAGATAAAAGAGAAGTGGCAGAAGTCGTAGGCGGAGGAGGCTGGGAAGGAGGATGGGAGGAGCAGAATAAGAAAAAGGAGACAGTAGCAGAAGAGACGTAGGTGGAAGAAAAGGTGGATGATGAAAGATAAAAGAGAAGCAGCAGCAGCAACAGAAGAAGAAGAAGAAGAAGAAGAAAGAAAGGATAGAGACGAAATGAGGGAAATGAGAAATTGTTGAGGAAACTGAAAATCGTAAAAGATCGGATATAGAGAAAAGCAAAAAACTGAAAAATATAAAACACAAAGGGTAAAAGTAAAAATATATTTAATAATAGATAAAACGATAGAAAATATTAATGGAAGAAACTGGTGAAAATATATTAATAAAGAAAAGAACGTTACGCAAAGGGTGGGGGAGAGAGGGAGGGAGAGAGAGAGGAAGAGAGAAAGAGAGGTGAACGGAAAACCAAGTGTCAGAACGATAAAGAATGAAGAAAAAACAAAGATTGCTAGCAAAAAAGAGGAAAAAGGGAAGAAAATTTGATCTGAGACACACACACACACACACACACACACACACACACACACACACACACACACACACAGAGCTGGAGAAAGAGATGGAGAGAGTGTGGGAAATGGAGTGAGAGAGGATGAGGAAGAGAGAGGAAGAGGGAGGAAGAAGGAAGAAGAGAAAGAGGAAGAGAGAGGACGAGGAAGAGAGAAGAAGAAGGAGAAAGGAAGAGAGAGAGAGAGAGAGAGAGAGAGAGAGAGAAGGAGAGAGAAATAATGGAAGAAGGCATAGAAAACAAAAGATTGTCAGAAAAAAGAAATGAGGGAATAAGTAAAACAAAAAAGAATCTCATCTGATAGATAGATAGATAGATAGATAGAAAGATAATGAACAGACAAAGATAGATAGATAGATAGATAGATAGATAGATAGAGACAGAGAGACAGACAGAGACGACTAGAGAGAAGGCTGGAGAGGAAGACTGGGGACAATGGAGAAGGAGAGATAAATAATGGTGGAAGATATGGAAAGAGCAAAAGTCAAACAATATTAAGTAATAAATAAATAAAAATATGAGAGAGACACCGATATTAATGGCGTCTATTTTATTTCCACGCAAATTAAGAGTTACAAGAAGCACAATTTTCTTTTTCTTCTTCTTCTTCTTCTTCTTCTTCTTCTTCTTCTTCTTCTTCTTCTTCTTCTTCTTCTTCTTCTTTCTGTGCCGTACCCCTCAGGACGTTAACGATCATAGGTTTTCACAATTTCCTATTCGTTATACCTTTTCATAAATTTTGTCTTTTTGCTATCACTTCTGAAACTTGGTCCGCCACACATTTATTCAGGTAGGTTATTCGTTGTTTTCCTCTGTACTCTTATCTTCAAACTGTCCTGTGAGTATCAAATTTTCAAAGCCCTCTATTCTCGTTACCTACACTAGAATTTTTAAACTTTGTCATAGATTTTTCTGATATATAAAAAATATATATATCGCTTTCTCATATATATATATATATATATATATATATATATAGTAAAGGTAATCAATCCGTTGGTATGTAATCCAAAGTTTATCCTAGTAATATATAAGTATTAAAACTAATCCACAAAAAGAGCTCAAGGTATTTACTTTACAGAACAAAATTTAATACACAATAAAATCCAAAATTATCTCATATGAGGAATAAGCTTATTTCGACTGACGAAAATATAATTCGTCAGTCTTAATAACCCCGGTATAGACTGAGTTTGTGTCGGAAAAAGAAATTTAACTGTGAAAGCTACTATATATATATATATATATATATATGATAATAATAATGATAATAATAATAATAATGGACTCTCCCGTCGGTTTCGACGTATGAGGATCTGCCAGCTTATTGATTCAGTTATGAAAGTTTATGCGCTAACCTTGTGGCATTTAAGACCCGCTAGTGATTTACAAAGGAGGCCACATATGGAGCAAGTGTGAGGGTTGTGAGATGAGATCACTGTTAGATTGGTTGACCTTTTAGATCTTGCTCTCACTTCTTGAAGATGATTCAGACAAGCAGAATCAAAATTGCTGAGTCCACTAAAACACGTTGATCTCCATTCTACCCGCTCCAAAGCTAAGCGTTCAAGGGTGTTATGTGTTATATTAACTGCTGACAAGTTGCTTTTCAGCTTGTCTTTGTATCTTAGCAATAGGCGTCCTACATTTCTGTAGCCCTGATTTAACTGGCTGTACATTAGGATCTTGGGTATCCTGACACCAGACATTCTCAAGATATATATATATATATATATATATATATATATATATATATATATATATTCATTTCGATGTTATCCATTTCAGTGTTTCAGTCAGACGAAATGTTCGAGAGGGTGGAACTGGAGGGTGAAGGGTAATTGTCTTAAAGTGAAGAGGTTTTATAAATTTAAACCCGGATATTAACCTTATGTCATTAAATTGGGGTTATATGGAGGATGAAATGTTAATTTAAAACTAAGAGAGGAATAAGTAGGGGGTTAACAAATTTTTTAAACATATATAAAGTTATATTTAAAAATAGTCATACTTAGAAGTATAAAGTCATATTTCCAAAACAAATAAATATTTAAAAGTAAGATATATTTAAACAAGTTATATTTAAAAACAAGTTATATATTTATATTTAAAAATAAATAAAATTTTATTTAAAAATAAGTTATATTTAATATAAAATAAATAGGTTATATTTAAAAATAAAAAATATATTTAAAAATAAAATTATAAGATGAAATAAATTATATATTTAAAATAAAAATATAATGAAATAAATTAAAATAAAAATGTTATATCTAAAAAGAAGAAATTTAAAAAAATATAAAGTTATACTTAAAATACAAAGTTATACTTAAAAATACAAACTTGTATTCAAAACAAAGCATAAAATATATAAAGATATGTCAGTGATAAAAGGAAAAAGAGTTCTTAGAACAGGGAACAATTTATAAAGTATAATTAATTTATTGCGAAGATGGGAATATAGAAATTAGAATTAGTTATACATTCGACATTTGATGGGTTAGAGAAATATAGTAGCTCATGAAATAAAACCTATATTATGGAAATTTGAATTTGTTTTTATGCCGACATTTTAATACTTATTCATTACTCTGATTCAATAGATGGCCTTGATTATTGTATTTTATTATTCTAATTTTTTTCTTCTAAACATGTCACATCTATCTCTAAGTCTGTTAGGAAAATGTGGGAACCTATAATATCAAAGTATCTGTACCTTTCTCCTTCAGTTTCCAAAATACCAGTCAGTTCTTTCAAAGAATTTTTTTCAATTGAAGGAGAAAGGTTTGAACTCACAGATAGTTTGGAAAATTCTAGGTTCCGAACATACTATGTATTTTAAAGGCTTTTAAACCCATATATATTCCTCTCTAAGTTTTAAATTAATTTTATTCTCCATATAACCTCAATTTAATGTAATAAGGTTTAATTTTATAAAACCTCTTCCCTTTAAGACAAATAACTTCCCTTTAAGACAAATACCTTCCTTCCTTGACCACTGTCTCGTGTCTTTCGCCTGACTGAAACATTGAAATAGATAAATCCTGTATTAGTTTTCGACGGGTATTTCTTGTAGTTTTCACAGTTAAATTTCTATTTCTGACACGAATATATATATATATATATATATATATATATATATATATGTGTGTGTGTTTAAAATATAGTTTTAAGGTATGCTATATTCAAGAGTAAAAGGGATAGAGCGTATGTAAATATAAAAAAGATAGCTACAAATAACCACATTTGGATTCACAATTATTTCTGCTCAATGGCCTTTATAATAATTTGAAACATAACCGTTACAGTTTAGCAAATAACCGTTAGGATAATTCAGTAAATCAGAAATACGTGATCTCGTTACTGCTTCATTAAATTAAAGGCAACACACAAGGCCTGAAGATTACGTTCAAGCTTGAAACAGTCTGTCGACACTCTTTGTTGACCTCAGTATGCAAACACACACACACACACACACACACACACACACACACACACACACACATATATATATATATATATATATGAGTTATTGGAGGAAAATTCGACGTTTACTGCCGTGGCACCAACATCCACTTCTGATATAGAGGGCAAACGTAATGAAATAGAGACCATTACTTTCGGGACGGCCCTCGTAGATTAATGAACACGTACCAATGATGGTGAGGAATCGATTGAAAACCAGAAAAAGAAGAACAAACTCCTCGGTCAAATAAGACAAAACAAAAAAAAAAGACGAATAAAAGTAAAGGAGATAAAAGACAAGAGACATTTCACACAATCAGAACTGAAGACAGAAAAGTATTTTACTTTAGACAGTTTTATAGTCGGACAACTCAGTAGAAGACTGCACTTCTATCGGAACACACGAAGACAGTCTGTCCAAATAATAACAAAGATAGGAAGAAAGGTCTAACAAA